ATTTCCTGCGAGAGGAAGTGCTGAGGGGTTACCGGGCGGGCACAGGGAAGGTCTCAGAGCTGCCCTGACCTTTCTCACCCTAGGGATGGAGGGCTGTGCCCACAGCACCCCACCCCTTCCCTATTTCCCAGGGACTGGTGCCTTTGAGCAAAATGATGGGGAACTCCCTTCCTCCCTCTGTCCCTCCCTCCTCCCTCCCCGGGCACTGGAAGGGAGTGGCCCTCAGTCCATTCTGGGCTGATTTGGGGCCACTCACCTGACTGCATGTTTGGCTGTGGATGGGGTCCAGGGCAGGGGCTCAGGCAGCCTGGGCTGTGAGCGGCACCTCCCATAGTCCCCGGGGAGCTGGTGGTTGGGCCAGGTGCCAGGCCTGAAGGCCAAGTGTGGGACGATGCTCCCTGTCTCATCAGATGGGCAGCAGGCGGCTTCGGAGGCTGCAAGCGTCCAGGCTCTGAGCTGCCCTAGGTCGCAGACTGCCCGGGCCTAGGCAGCGGACATGGCCTTTGTCCTCAATGTCCTTGAGACCCCAGAAGACCAGGGGTAAGTGCTCTGGGGCTGTGGGGCTGTGGGCTGGGATGTGCCACCCCCGGGGAGAGGCCTCTGGACCACGGACGTTTGGAAGGGGCAGGCTGCTGGGCGAGAACTGGGCCCCCACCCCCACTTCTCCCCCCAGCAGCCGGGATCCCAGCCCCTACGACGAGAGCGAGATGCACCACTCCTTCCACCAGCTCATCCAGGAGCAGAGCCAGTGGGCAGCTGAGGAGGGGCTGGAGCTGCAGCCCACCGGGCTGGGGGCCGGAGCCCTGGACGCCTCGGGTGAGCGTGCCCAGCCCAGGCCGCGGGTGGTGGGATGGTGCGGGCAGGGCCCTGAGCCTTCTCAGCCTCTCAGGATGTCCCGCCTGGCGGCCTGAAGGCCTGAGATGGGGATGGGGGACTGCTGGTCAGCAATGACAAGGCCCTCTGGACAAGTCTCTCTGCTGCTCCACAGGCAGTGACCGCCAGGCTCTCCTGGGGCCGGAGGGCGCTGCGGAGCTCAGCACGGCCACGCTCCGCATCCTGGCCAGCTTGCCCAGTCGCACCATCGGTGAGCGGGGCCCTCGGCCCTCGGCCCCAGCCTTGCTCCGGCCCCTGGGCTGGGCCTGGGATTCCAGGGGATCCGTGTCCCTTAGAGCCAGGCCTTTTCGGCTCCCGCCCCTCTGTCTGCGGCCCGCAGGCCCGGCACAGACCCCCACAGCCTCCTGGGTACTAAACGACTCCAGGGTTGTCACCGGGATAAAAATAGGCTCTTGGGAACCCAGCAGCGCCAAGGTCTCTTATGAAGGGAACTTCCCGGGTCCTGGGGGGGCGGCGGCTGCCTTCACGTGAGAGCCGGGCTTCGTGGGAACGGGGCGTCGAGGCCTGGCCCTTCCTGACCCCCCCGCGGCCCTGCAGGCCGCAGCCGGGGCGCCATCATCTCCCAGTACTACAACCGCTCGGTGAGGATGCGGCGCAGGGCCGGCCGG